TATCAATTGTATGGTAGTCAAATAATAAAGTTTCAATAAAAGTTGTACTGCACAAAATTTGATATTTTAAAAATAAGAAACATTTTTTTGTCAAAGTTCACGTTTTCTTGTTTATTAAAATATACCATTAACGTTGTAGAAAGTAAAATAATCATTTTACAATTATATATACAATGATAAGGAGGGTGCACATTATTTGCTTAGAATATCTTTCTTTCTTTCTTAGGCGAAACATGAAAGCTAGATCTCAATATCATATTCAACCTTGGCACTTCCTTCGTAAGTCCAACAATGTGATGTTGTTTGGCTTGTTTATGGTGCTAGTTTCTTTAGATGTAACTAAGTCAGGATATCTGGTTAAAACGCTTCCAGGTTTTCCTGGTGATCTTCCTTTCCTATTTGAAACCGGGTATAGTCATGTTCATTGTAATTGAATTTATATGCTTTATTTAATTTATGTTGTTTGTTTGTTTGTTTATTATTATTATTATTATTATTATTATTATTATTATTATTATTATTATGCTTCTTTTATTATAATGGTTATACTAATTGTCAAAAAAATGTGCTTTTAGTTACATTTCAGTAGGTAAAAATGATGACGTACAGTACTTTTACTATTTCTTTGAGTCGGAAAGGAGCCCGAAAAACGACCCTCTCTTACTTTGGGTCAGAGGAGGGCCTGGTTGTGGTGTTCTCACTTCTATTCTGCTTCAGATAGGTATATCTACTATCTCCATTTTTATTAGTAAAGCTGACTTTAGAGCATTCATGATAATGCATCTATTTCAATAAGTTTTTTTAGTTAATGTCATCACCACATAAAATAAAACAACAAACATAACAAACAGCCAAAATATGGAAGTTTTTTTTCACAAAGCTTATTTATGGTTCATAATAGGTCTATTAAGTAACTAAATAAAATTGTATTAAAAATATAAAAAATGTCTACAATGGAGCTTGTAAATTTACAATCAACGTGATAAACCTTTGGATTAAAAAGCTCCTAATTTTAGAGCTTATTTTACTATATATGGTATATTAAATACTCTTATTTAGATGCTCTTTGTTTCTTCTTTCATATGGTTATACGTAAGGTTTCGGTAGTGCTCCAAGCTAAAAAAATGATATATAATTTTCATAATATATCATGCTTCGACACATTTTCCTTTTTCAACTTCCTGCTATGAAGAATTCACAAAACTTCTTATGTTAAATATAGTTCTCATCGTACCTACAAATTAGCTAAAAAGTGGAAAACAAAAGGTTTACATACATGCATACTTGAAACCATATATAAATGGGATAAGCGTCACAGGTTGCACTGAATACGAATGTTGAATTCGCCAATACATTATGAAGAACTCAACACATAAGTGATTGTATTTTGTACTCAGGGTGTTGACATTTATGTTATATATCATCATTTTCGGGTGTGTTAAAACCGGAACTTTATAATTCTTTATTCTAATTTTCCAATGTTAGCCGTTATTATAGGTTTAAAAGTTACCATGCAATAAAATTAACAAAAAAATCTTTATATTTACAAATTTTATACGTATTCATGCAGAAAAAACATATTTATACACCAAAAATATTTTATTAAACATTGTATTTATATTTAAAAAAATATTATTTCTTTATATACATGTTTTTTACCTTATTATACAATTTAAAACCTAAAAATATATTTTTAGAAGTATAAATACAAAGCTTTATGTATTTAGATACATTTTATAGAAGTGTAAATACGTATTTTTACACTTTTAGAAATTTGAATATGTTTTTTAGAAGTATAAATATGTATTTTAAGTATTTAGAAGTATATCAATCAAAAAACGTGTTTATACATAAAATATATATTTATATTTCTAAAAACATAAAATATATTCTTCGAAAAACGTATTCATACTTAAAAAAAAGGAATATCTCTAAAAAAATCCAAATATTTTGGTCAAATTTTTAATAAAGTCCTAAATTTTATATTTTGAATAAAAAGAGTCCTGACTTTTTTACCTTTTGAATAGAAAAACCCAATAAACCGGCTAATTTATTCACTTTAGCCCTTTTTCACCTATTCAGCAGGTCATTGGACAAATATGTTAATTTTTCGAAAATAATGAGATTTTTTTGCAGATTTCGTTAAAATTTTTATATAATGTATAAACATATTTTTTACATATATATATATATATATATATATATATATA